CGAAGAGGGGAGGTTTCTGACTACACATCACAGCTGTCCAAAAGAAGCTCTGAGCTTGTCCAGTATTTGGATGAAATTCAGGTGAAAATCTATACATTCTATTGAGTAGCTATGGGAGCTTTACTGACTGTAGTGTCTTTCATGACGGAGTAAGAGAATTCATAGTATGGTACTGTTCTGTCATACATATAGTCTGTGTCTACGAGTTTGGCAGAGGTAATGAAGTTGCTGAGAGAGAGAGAGATACGTCTTATTTGCTGTTTGGATTTATTGAAATTGATAACCTAGAGGGGAAATACTCTATTCTGTGCTAATTTTGTGTAAGACTTTCAAGACTTTCTTATTCAGTTATTAAGATGGGCACTTTCTAGTGCAAGAAATGGAGAAGATGACTGACGAATATAGCAAAATGAAACTGATTGTGCAACAGTCTGATATTCTTATGGATGAGTTAAGAAAAGAGAAAGATCGGTACAAATTTCAAGTAAGAAATGACTCATAATTTAGTATAAATATTTTTTAGGTTTCTAGTCATATTTTAGCTTAAGTTAAAACTTTCTATCTATGTGGTTAAAACCACACACTCCTCTAAAATAATGCTTTTAAAAAATAGTGTGATCTTTGAATGTGGTACAGATTTTAAAATTTGACTGTCGATCACAAAAAGTTTTGTATAGAATGATAGTCATGCACAGTTCTCAGAAGTCATTCCCTTGCTGTTGTAATACTAATCTGTTAAATATTATGTACTTGATGTAGTGTGTTTGTACATAGGCCCAAACCTTTTTTGTAATGTGATGTTCATTCAAATGGCATGTCTAGGTTCAGGATCTTTCAGACCAGCTGAAAGCAAAGAATGAGGAAGATGATCCACTCATGGCAGCTGTAAATGCAAAAGTTGAAGAATGGAAGGTATTTTTTAATGCTTTTAAAATCCTTTTTAGGAATTATTCAAGTGTTCTGATGGTATTTTATCTTCTTTTCAGAAAATCTTAGCTTCAAAAGATGATGAACTCCTAGAGTATCAGCAAATGTTACTTACCATGGAAGAGAAAATGAAAATGGTCCAACTTGATGTAGACAGAAACAGTATACTGTCCCTTCAGCAGGTACAGTTCATGTGAGACATTGCACACATTGAAATCACCATTAATTAAATATCCTATTGACCAAATATAAATTTATTCTTTCATTGCTTGCAAATATGAAGTACTTAATTCTGAGAATTATGAGACAGGTCGATTCATTACATTGCAAAGTTAGTTTAATAGACAATGTACAAAGGAAACTTCTCTGTATGTATGTCCTGAACTCTTGGTAGCTTCTCTGTTATTTCCATATTTATCTTTTCTAACTATTATGTAGTGTTTCTAAAATACAGTTTAGCTTCTGGCCACTAAGATTGTTAAGAAACAGTCTTACCTAGTACTTAATTTTCTGTGTTCTTTTGTCTCATCTGGTTAACTCTCTGGTTCATTGTATGATAGAGCTGGCTGAATTTGCATATCTCTCATATTCATGCAAAATTACATAGTTCTTCATGGTTTTGAATGTCTACACTTTCTTAAAAAACATAACCTTCTCCTCGTCTCCCCAAAATAATGTGATCCATTAGGAATCCTAAAATAGTCTGTATGGAGAGCATACTCTCTGATTCTAGGATGATTTCCTGCCTTGTTTCAAGTTTTTTAAGTAAATATGTAATGACATTTATGTCACATTTTGGGTTCTTGTAAACTGAGCAGTATGGTCCGATATAGTTATGCAGTTTTCCAAACCTAGGACAGATAGATTCTCAAGAGAAAAACACCCTAAAGTACAAATCAGCCTTAGCTATCAGAAGAGGAAAGCAGCTGAAAGTATCTTTGATAAGCAGTTGTTTGGTTTTAGCTGATTAGATGGCTGTAGAGGTTGCTTTTATGGGGAGCTGTGGGAGTGAGGGGACATTATTAGCATGGCATTAGCATTGAAATGTTTTGTGGAAATAAGCATGCATTTTAAGCAATAAATCAAGTTACTGCTGAGGTTTTTACTCAAAATGAACTCAGCTTGCTATCCTTCAATGTATGCTTATATTCTAAGGGGTTATATCCAGGTTTTTACTGGTTTGCTAAGCTCTGTACTTTCAGGTTTCAAATGTGGTTATATTTGTAAGAAAGCCTGAAAGTTGTTTTTCGAAACATTGAGATTTTTACATTATTATTATTATTACTTTACATTTTATTATTATTAATGTCTGTAATTTTTTTAAGTCTCTTTTTTATCTTTCACCACTTTTTTATTCATCACAGAAAAAATTATG